CCTAGAGCACCATTTTGCCAGAAGTCCATGACCTTATTTGGAAATAGCATCTGCAGATTTAGTTAGATAACATGAGCTCATAGTGGAGTAGGCTGGACCCTAATCCAAATGAATGGTGTCATTATAAAAAGAGGATAAGAGACACACACAGAGCTATAGATGGAAGACGACCGTGTGAAGATGGAGGCAGAGATTGGAGTTATGCTACCACAGGCCATGGAATGCCTGGGGCTATCAGAAGCTGGAAGATACAAGGAAGGCTCTTCCCCTAGAGACTTCAGAGAGAACAAGGCTTTCCTAACAGACACCATGAATTTGGATTACTAACATCCAGAACTGTGAGAGAATAAATTTTTGTTGTTTTAAAACACCCACTTTGTGGTAATTCCCCCTAGAAAACTAATACATAGGGGCCTCACACAATAGATGGTTATCTATACGTAGACCTCAGCGTTGCTGGATGTTTTTATACTTCCAACAATCTCTGTGAAATGCGATTCATTTGGAAGCAAAAGTACAAGCAGACTAAAGAGAATGAGAAGTTCTGGTGATGCTGGGATGTCCCCAGTAATTATGTCATTGTTAGTTGCTGTTAAATCAATTGTAGCTCATGGTGACCCCATTATGTGCTGAAAGAACTGTTCCATAGGGTTTTCTTCACTTTAATCTTTTTGGAAGCAGATTGCCGGGCCTGTTTTCCAAGGTTCCTCTGGGAGGGTTCAAACTGCCAACCTTTCAGCTAATAGCCAAGCGTTTAACCATTTGCATCACCCAGGGACTTCTCCAATAATTATACCCCCTAATTATCATACTGAGTTGAGTAAGAGCACCTAAAATTAATAAGTGAGGCTCCTGATTAATAGGAAAGAGCTATGTTCTTGTCCAAAGCCAGATTCTCTTGTGATTTTTAGCATAGGTTCTACTTTAAAACTGTTGTTGTTAGGTGCTGTCAAGTTGGTTCCAATCATAGTGACCCCACGTACAACAGATTGAAACACTGCCTGATCCTGAGCCATCCTCACAGTCGCTGGTATGCTTGAGCCCATTGTTGCAGCCACTGTGTCAGTCCGTTCTTCCTCTTTTTGCTGACCCTCTAATTTACCAAGCATGATGTCTTTCTCCAGGGACTGATCCCTCCTGATAACATGTCCAAAGTATGTGAGACATAGTCTCGCCATTCTTGCTTCTAAGGAGTACTCTGGATGTAGTTCTTCCAAGACAGATTTGTTCGTTCTTTTGGTAGTCCATGATATATTCAATATTCTTTGCCAACACCACAATTCAAAGGCGAACTTCTTCTTTAGTCTTCCTTATACATTGTCCAGCTTTCACAGGCATATGAGGGTCAGGTGCGCCATAGTTTTCAAGGTGACGTCTTTGCTTTTTCACACTTTAAAGAGGTCTTTTGCAGCAGATTTGCCCAATGTAATACGTCTTTTGATTTCTTGACTGCTGCTTCCATGAGTGTTGATTGTGGATCCAAGTTAAATGAACTCCTTGACAACTTCAATCTTTTCTCCATTTATCATGATGTTGTTTATTGGTCCAGTTGTGAGGATTTTTGTCTGTGTTGAGGTGTAATCCATACTGAAGGCTGTGGTCTTTGATTTTCATCAGTAAGTGCTTCAAGTCCTCTTCACTTTCAGCAAGCAAGGTTGTGTCATCTGCATAATGCAGGTTGTTAATAAGTCTTCCTCCAATCCTGATGCCCTGTTCTTCTTCATATAGTCCAGCTTCTCAGATTTTTTACTCAACATACAGATTGAATAAGTATGGTGAAAGGATACAACCCTGACACACACCTTTCCTGACTTTAAACCACAGAGTATCCCCTTGTTCTGTTTGAACGACTACCTCTTGATCTATGTACAGGTTCCTCATGAGCACAATTAAATGTTCTGGAATTCCCATTATTTGCAATTGTTATCCATAATTTGTTATGATTCACAGAGTCGAATGCCTTTGCATAGTCAATAAAACTATTGACTAAAACTGAAGCCTGATATTTCTGTAAGTTTCCACTGTACTTTGCTGAAACCAATAGATAAGTAATTTTTAAAAAAGAATGTGGGAACTTAAACCATTCTCAACAAACAGAATGATGGGGTCAACATGCATTCCTAGAAAACAAAAGATCAGGATATAAAATCATTTAGGAAGAGTATGTCAATATGTAAATGATTGTTCTTGGGAAGAACCTTTGCTTTGTTTTGCTGTATAAAAACCTCTTAACTCAATCGAGACAATGCAACACTGTTGAGAGCATCCTCAACTCTGTGTTTTCCCAATTCATGAATTTTTTTATTACTCAATAAAACTCTTTGATTTTACTTTAAGCAGACTCCATGGCTTGTCCTCTGCAACAGAGTTGTTGCTTCACTCTTCTTCCCAGAAGTAAATTAAACTTTATTAAGGCTCCTACCTTTTGGGTGGAATTACTGATACTTCACTTCCTTTAAATCCTTTCTGTCAGGTTCATTTCATTTCTCTAAGCATCTTACCCAGTGGTTAATCAGTAGGAACTCTTCCTCAACAGCAGGAAGAACAGTTCCTGGGCATTTAAGACAACTTTGACTGGATCAAGAAGAACATTGTAGCTGAATCCCTGATGTTAATAGCCCTGAAGAAAGACTGTAGTAGAAGAGAATAATGTGCATGAAGTCCAGAAGAGGGAGCCAAAGAGCAATAATTCTCGCCTAAGTCTCTAGTGCTGTCTAGGGGAGAGTGCCTTGACTGTCATGGGCACATCAGGCTGTTAACACACACCTTCTTCCAGGAGCCTTCAAATGGTAGTTTGGTTTACCATACAATTTTTAATTTTTATGAATAATGAATATTTAGGGGGAGATCTTATGCTGAGAGCCAAGAGTAGCATTCCTATCTGCTTGTCATATATAATTCTCAAATGAAAAATCATACCTTGATATTCTGGATACTAGATCAGCCTCTTATTTTGACTTTGTTTCCTCAACACTGAATAACATTAAGTAACCTGATAAAAAGGAATTTCTGGATTGCAAAGCAGAGGACCAGGCCTCACCAAGATGTTTTAAGGGTTGCATGTACAGCCAGCTGTATTTATTCATTCATTCAATGAAGAATTACCAACCTCCTACTATGTGCCAGGCACACTGTACTAGCACGTGGTACATAGCACATAGTGCTAGGCTCTGGAGATATCACAGTGAACAAGAGATAGTTCTTGCCCTTAAGGAGTAAACAGTCTAATAAACTCAAACCCATTGCTGTCGAGTTAATTCCGACTCAAACAGTCTAATAAGAAGGAGAAATAAATAGGAAATTTCTCTACAGTGTGATGAGAATGAAGATAGGAATAAGCATGAGTACTTTAGAGAAAACTGGGAGAGGCACCCAATGCATGTAGGGGAGGGGCTTGGGCAGGTTTCTGGCAGAAGTGACATCTAAGTGGAGTTGGCCAGGGGAGGTGGGAGAGCCTTCCAGGCAGTGCTGGTGGGATCCAGGTGGAGAAGCCCAGAGGCCACAGTGACTGAAGTTTAGAGACTTAGAGTGGAGGTGGGGGGCGGGCGGGAGGAGTGAGCCCAGAACTGGAGAGGTACTGAGTTACTACAGCCTACTGAGGAATTTGACCTCCCTCAGAGGGAAAAGGGGGAATAAATAAAGGGATGTGAAATTTTCAGATTCGTTGTTTAGAAAGATCACTCTGGCTGCACTTTGCACATTGGAGTCAAAGGATAAAGGCTAACATCAGGGAAATTAAAACAAGAATGTTGTTTGAGGCACCTAGCTTTGAAAGTCCTGTTTGATGTCGCCTAATCTCTAATTTAAACAACTTTGTAAAGTTTCTAAGTTCTAACATGAGATTCCAGGAACACATTTTGCTGCCATCAGAGCTGCCACACAAGACCCACCCTTGAGCCCACAAAGGGCAGGCTGAGAAACAGAGATGAATTACTGGCTGAGGGAGAGGAATCTGCAGTGTCAGGAAGAAAGCGTGTGGAGATGGGTGGGGGTTTCTGTAGCCTCTGTTGTCTCTTGACTGGGTCTGTTGTCCCAGGAGGAGCACTCATATTTAGGTGACATATTTAAGCAGGCTATATTTTAACCTAGGGCTGCCCGTAGTCTAACATGCTAGTATGGGAAACAAAACTAACATGAACTGGGTGCCAACTATATGCAAGCTACTGGGCCGATGTTTTACACATACAATATGATTTAATGATCCTCACACTATTTGTAGTAGGTACTGTTGTAGAGAGGTTAGGAGTAAAGAGAGGTTAAATAATTTGCCTAAAATCACACATAATGAATGACAGAGCCAGGATTTGAAGATAACTCTTGCTCCTTTACATTATGCTACCACCTATTAAGGAGCCCTGGTGGCGCAGTGCTTAAAGCGCTAGACTGTTAACCAAAAAGGTCGGTGGTTCAAACCCACTGGTGGCTCAATGGGCGAAAGATGTGGCAGTCCGCTTCCATAAAGATTTACAGCCTTGGAAACCCTATGGGGCAGTTCTACTCTGTCCTATAGGGTCATATGAGTTGGAATCGACTCAACGGCAATGGGTGGAGCCACCAGTTAACTTCTATTTTACACAACCTGGTGTTTAACAAGTTACCTTGGCAGTGTTGATTGTAGCTCTGTTGCCAGTTGAAAACCCACATCCAAGCAGATAAACTCTCTTAATTTGCGTCATCATCTATTTTGGCAAGATTAATATCTGACTCCACAGTGTACTGAGAGAAGGTATTGACCCCCATGAAATGGTAAATTGGTTTTCCTTTGCAGGTAATCCTACTGGTTTTGTCTTGCATTAGTTCTTGTTCAGCAACAGGATTTTTGACTTGACTGGGGGGGAAAGATACAAAGGAGGAAAAAGTGAAGGCGCTATTGATTAACTTTCTTGAAAAAAAATATGTTAGATGTTACATATTATGACAATTTTATGAGATGGAAAAATTGAGAAAATGACTTGAGATTTTTCACCTAAATCTGTAGTCTGTTAGAAGTGTTCTAAAGACAATAATAATAATAATAATAACAAACTTTAATTGAATGTTTTTTATGTGCCAGAAACTCTTTTAAGGACTTTACATGTATTAATGCTCAAAATTTATTTACTATGGAAAATTCAAACATATATAAAACAGGAAAGAATAGCATAATTTACCTGTGTACCCATCTCCCAGCTTTAGCAATTATCAATTTATGGCCAATCTTATTTCGTCTATTACTTCTCCCCACTGCACCTACCCCATTCCCATTGGACTGTTTTGAAGCAAATCCTAGACATCATCATTTCATCTAGAAATACTTCAGTATGTATCTCTAAAGGATAAGGATTATTTTAGGTTCACACCTTGCCTTTGGTTGACACATTGCTTAAATCTCTTTTAATCTATAGGTTTCCCCTCTGCTTTTTTTCTTCTTCTTGCAATTTATTTGTTGAAGAAACTGAATCATTTGTCCTGTAGAGTTTTACTCATTCTGGATTTTGCTAATTACTTCCCTGTAGTGTGGTTTAGGAGTCCCTGAGTGGTGTAAACAGTTAATGCCCTTGATTGGCTGCTAACTGAAAGGTTGGAGGTGTGAGTCCATCCAGAGCTGCCTCTGAAAAAAGCAGCCACTGAAAACCCTTTGGAGCACAGTTCTACTTTGACACACATGGGTCCCCATGAGTTGGAATTGACTTGATTGCAACTGGTCAGTGTGGTTTAATATGTTCCTCTGTCCCTGTATTTCATCAAACTAGTATTTTGATCTAAACATTTGATCTGACTTAAGTTTTATATTTTTGTAGGAAAACTTCATAGATAATGGTGTGTATTTTCACCTGGAGGCACACAATACCTGGTTATTGTTCTTTCTGTGATCTTAGAAGGAATTGATGATCATTGCCTAAAACTGTGATTTCATTAAAAGTTTACAAAGGGATGTATTCATTTTTTAAATATCTGCAACAACTCCATGAAATAGGCATTAAATGATCCCATTTATAGAAGAGAAAACTGAGGCACAGTAATAGATATAAAAGTAGTACAATTGTAACTTCCTAAGTAACTAGTTTCAATTCTAATTAAGGAAAAAATGATTTTTCTATAGTCTCAATGGAGTAAATAATATGGTGATTAAGATTTTGGACTCTGGAACCAGACTGCTTACCTTCAAAACCTGGCTTCAAGACTTATGTCTATGAGGTTTTGGAGTAAATTACTTAATTTACTGTGCCTCATTGCATCCCTTGCTCTTCCCTGGTAGAAGTAGCTACTATTCTGAATTTGGTATTTATCATTCCATTGATGGATTTATTTTTACTTCATATATGTGTAACAAAAAACAGTATATGGTATTGTTTTTGTATATGACGCCTTACTAAATATATCCTTCAGCAACTTGTTTCTTTCCCTTAACATTATGTGTGCGAGATTATTTCATGTTGAAACATGTAATTGAAGTTCAGCTATTTTCAGCAACAGATTGCTGTTGAGTTGATTCCAACTCATAGTGACCCTATAGGACAGAGTAGAACTGCCCCATAGGGTTTCCAAGGCTGTAATCTTTACAGAAGTAGACTATCACATCTTTCTCCTGCAAAGCACCTGGTGGGTTCGAACTGCCAACCTTTCGGTTAGTAGCTGAGCACTTAACCACTGTGCCACCAGGGCGCCATTGTTGAATAGTATTCCATTTTTTGTTACTACATAGCAATTTATCCATTCTTGTCTTTACAGAGGTTCATGGTGTTTTCAGTTGCTTGCTATCAATTACAATGTTGCAATGGACATTCTAGCATTTGTCTCTGTATGCATGTGTAACAGTTTCTTGTACACAGCTAGGAGCAGAATTGCTGGGTGGAAGGTATGTACTTCTTCAGCTCCACTAAAGGTATTGCCAATGTGCTGCCCAAAATATTTTTTTTATCAATTTATACTCTTACAGTATATAAGAGCTTACCTGAGTTTTTCACAAAAATTAGTGAGTGGACTCAGACAGAATTTGCATTTTCTACATTGAGGTAGGTAGAGTGGGATTACCTTGTCACCTAGAAAGGAACGCCACATGTTGGATGGCGCCTAAGATGTTATTTATAGTTTCTACAAGGATAATCAGTAGAAAGCACCTCTTTTTGTGTTCTACAAGATTGCTGATTCTCCCAAGTATTGCATGTACTATCTTTTTCCCGCCATCTCTGCTGGGCAATCAAGCAACACATCTCTATTGATGACATCCAGTGAAGAGCCCTGTCTGAGACGCTGTTGTCATTGCAACTCTTTGCATTATAACTATTGTTTACTACATTTACAAACACCCTGTGGTGGAATAGAATATCCTTATGTGACAGGATAGGTGAACAATAATAGGCTAGATATATAGAGTAAGCTATATCATTGCCATGTTTCCTTACTCTCAAATTCTATATTTTCCCACTTTTTACTCAATTTCAATTTGACTTCTAGACATACTATTTATCCTCTGATGACCAAGTCTAAACTGATAATTAACATTTATTTAACACTTGGTATGTGCCAACACCATTCTAACTGCTTACATAGTTAATATGTATATACATATATTTAATTTAATTCTCAGAGCTACTATTTGAGATGGATGCTGTTATTATCCCCATTTTCACAAGCAGGAATCTGAGCAGAGTCACAGAAAAATGAAGTAACTACACAAGGTCACACAGTAAGTGGCAGAGCTGGGACTAAAGAGGCTACATTGACCAGGCTCCTTCATGGATTCAGAATTCTTGGAAACAATTTATTTCTATGATCTTTGGAACAGAAATTAATACCTCTAAATCTGGAGCATTCTCATTAAAGGAGGATGAGTGGTACAGTTCATCCTGCTTGACAAAGGAGAATTACATAACACATATTCCAGTATTTGATGGATCTATTATAAAATGTGAAGTAAAGAATTTCAGCCAGTGGCATGCTTCGTTTAGGTGTTCTCTATAGATAAAGTGACCATATTTCCAAGATTTTATTAGACAGTTTTGATTTTAAATATTCTATCCTGTTGTTAGACTGTGGTAGATGGTGTTTCTCAGTTTTGCTTTGGAAAAGATGATCATCTTATGGTCTTCTAAGAGATCAATTATAGCATGCAAAGCCAGGACTGTATCAGGAATTATCCCTGAGTTATCCAGACAAACCCATTTAATCAGAATTGGAAAATAAAATACCTGGTTTGAAGTTGATTACTCCTGGCCCAATACTTTCCACAATTCCTGCACCTTCATGGCCAAAGATCACTGGGAAAACACTCTCCTTAAACTTAGGATTGGTAGAATGAGAATCAGTATGGCACAGGTCACTGGTGATTATCTACAAAGCAATTACAGACTTAAGTTGTGCTTCTGTAGTTATATTATTGGGTTTTGCTGGGAGGATAATTTTAGCTCTATGTCATTTTGAAACTTTACTGTATAACCCTCCTAGAACTCAATAAAAAAATTACTTTTGAAAAAAAAGAAGAAATAAAAATACGTTAGAGTACATTCTTTTCCCCTTGTAATGCACCATTATTTTCTACCTTTTATTGTTGTTGGAAAATCCAAAAAGAGATGGAATTGGCAGTTACTGTCTTCAGTTGAGGAAAAACCAAAGGCAATGAGGGAAAGTTAAACAGAGTTTATTAGGAAGAGGGAATAGGGTAAACAGAGGTAAAGTTGTTTCTAGGGGCTTGTCCAAATTTTCTTGAAACTACATTAAATGAAATAGAGGTAATAGACCTTTTATAGTTAAAACAGAAATGCCAATAAGTGATTGTCTAAATTAATTATTAATGTGTCTTGGTATTATTCTTCAAGATTCTGTTTATGAGGATCTTGTTCATTCTCATGTACAAACCCTTAATGTGGTGGTCCTGAGGAAAACTATAAGCCTGACCAGCCCTGGGAAAAATGGAGAAAGTGTCCAGGTTTGCTATCTCTTGTTTCTCATCACTCAGTGTAGTCTCTTTTCCCTGCTGACTTATTCCTGTTCTTTCCTCTGGGCAACTAGGGTCCTAATGGGAAGCACTTCAGGTTTTCCCTCTCCTTTGTTTTGATCCAAATTATCTGTCTTCCTTTTAATAACACTTTCCAATAACTTCCAATTGGAAAACAACAAGAACAAAAAAACCTAACTAATTCTAATTCAAAGTAAATTCCTTTATCTGATTTCTAGGGTTAATGATTAATGTCAAGGTAGTTCAATTAAATTTTAAACCAATTATCAATCATTACTGATAATTAATAATTTACCCCTTCTGGGTTTAATGCCTGTTTTTATCTGAACCTAAGAGATATAATTGTGCCATATTGGAGACTCCAGGGCCTCTCAGTCACACCACATAGGCATGACCAGACAGAAGCCAGGGTTGTTCTGGGTGTCTTGTCTGTCCCTGCCCAGGGAAAGTCCCCACTCACCTGAACTCGAACTTCTGGAGCCTTGAGGAGAGCTACTTTAACCTCTTCATGCAAAGGGGCTTCCCAGCTTCCCATGCAATGGCTGCTTTGTATTTAATAACCTAAGGAGGAGGGTGGAGAGAAAGAGAAAGAAAAAAGCGAGAGCAAGAGCAAGAATGAGAGAGAGACAGGAGAAAAGAGAGGTGAGGTGAGGGAAGGAGAGAGGAAAGAGACAACATAGGGAAGAGGAAAAAAAGAGGAAGGAGAGAATATATCATGGAAAAAATTGAAAAACATGTTGATACCATAATTTTAAGAAAATGAGTTTGTGGCTCCAGTTGAGAACGTTATCTATAATTATATTATTTTAAACACAAAGCATTTTAAATTGAAAGTAAGTTAATTTCTATATTACTTAAAGCAATTACACTTTCTATTTTTGAAAAGAACAGTTGTATTAAAGTTTTACCTTAATACACTCAGTCCTCACTTATCGACATAGTTAGAGTTCCAAAGACCAGGTTGTGATGCAGAAATTGGCATTATGCAAAACTGGAGGATGATTGCATCAGATTACAAAATGGAGGATGACTACATCATTACATAACTGCCAAATTACATCATTACATAACTACCAAACTACATCATTACATAACTGCCAAACCACTGAGAATCATGGCCCAGACAAGTTGACACATAACCTTAACCATCACAGCCAGCATTACTCTCACCTCACACCTTGGCATTCCTGACTGCAGACATACATTGTTAATGTGCAAAATAGTCAGATAGCAGTCTTTTACTATTGTTGTAAATGCAAATGTCAGATAACAAGATAGTTGATAAGTGAGGAATAGGTGTATAATGCCTTGATTTTTTTCCCCTTCCATAATATACAGGGTACATTTACAGAGTTTGGACAGGGTAGATGGCCAATAAGTATTTGTTGACAGAACGATTAGTTAACAGCTCTGAATTACCTGAGTCCTTATTGCTAGACATAAATGGGTTTTGTATCTTTGCCACTCAAAGTATGGACTTTGGATCAGCACTATCAACATTAGCTGGGAGCTTGTTAGAAATACAAACCCCTCCCCAAATCTACTAATTCAAAATATACCTTTGAACAAGATCCCCAGGTGATTCATATGTGCATAAAAGTCGAGAAGTGAGGCTAACATAATTACTAAATTTATCAGTACAGTAGAATATAGCTTAAATAAAAATTTAGTTTCTTTGTAAGAATTTGGGTGAGAATATATGAAAAGAAATTAAACATTTAAGATTCTATAATCCTTATATTAAAAGGATTTTTAGCCTTTTAAAATTATATTTAAAAAATTTAAATGTAAGTAAATATTGAGTAATGCAGGAAGCATCAAAAGAAGATGGAAGGAATACACAGAGTCGCCATACCAAAAAAAACTGGTCGATGTTCAGCCATTTCAGGAGGTAGCATATGATCAAGAAGATTGATAAACTGCATATTGCTAGAGATGATTACTCTTACTTACACTTTATGTAAGATTATACAGTTCATCTCTTTAATGCGTATTTCAGACTACAGATTAATATACTCATATAGCATATCATAGAGTTTCAAGAGTGCATAGAGTTTCATCTGGTACAAGATTTTATCACTGACTTTAAAGTTCCAAAAGTTGAACAGCAAGCACATCTGTTTCTTTTACTGTTGGACTGGTTTTATCACACCCCTGTATACCGAGGGTAAAAATTAATTCTTGAAGAATATATTGAGGAGAGGCAGAGAAGACACTTTAATTGTCTCATAACTAGCATGTGGTCACCCCCCAGCCTCCATGAGTCTGCAAGTCATTCTGTTTAGGCTGAGCCAAGCGCTCCCTTGGGCCAGCCAGAGCACTAATAATGGAGCCACTTGACTCTTCAGTTCAGTTTCCTAATTTCCAGAAAAGAGACTTTGAACTGCACATTCTAGTATGGACTGAATTAAATTCCTAGCCAAAGGACCTTTGTTCCCACAGTTTCCATCATGGGGAAGGGAAAGGAGAGGGGCTTATTCTCCCTAATAGACTGATCTTTTATAATAGTGGTTATAGGCTTTTGCTCCTGTTATAATGCAAAATGGGAGAGGACCGTCCTCATTGGCTGATTTTCTGAAGCTGATCACCAGGCTTTTCTTCCTAGTTTATCTTAGTCTCTAAGCTCCACTGAAACCTGTTCAGCATTATAGCAACATGCAAGCCTCCACTGACAGACATGTGGTGGTTGTGCATGTTAAATTATTAGCTAAGATAAAACGGTTGTAACTTGGTTTTATTTAGTGGGAAGAAATTAATCCTCACTTAGTGCTTAGTGAGTATCAGGCACTGTATGCACATAATCTTTACCACAACCCTGTGAGGTAGGTATTATGTTCCCTGTTAATAGATAATGTAATATAGTTATCCTGTTAATACTGTTCAGTTATTCATTAAGGGAACAGAGATTAGATTTGAGGTCTGTTTGACTATAAAGTTTATGTTTTGTCCAGTCACGCTATTGCTTTTGAAAATTTTAGTTTGTTTGATAACATTTGGGCTCTATAGTTTCCTTCTCTTGCCATACCTGCAAATAGAAATTTGATCTCTAGAATATTATTCATTTTACTTTTTTCCCTAAATTTTATTTATTTTGTTGTTGTCGTTGAGAATATACACAGCAAAAGATACACCAATTCAACAATTTCTACATGTACAATTTAGTGACATTGATTATGTTCTTCGAGTTGTGCAACTATTCTCACCCCCTTTTCTGAGTTGTTCCTCTCATTAACATAAACTCACTGCCACCGAAGGTTCCTATCTAATCTTTCAAGTTGCTGTTGTCAATTTGATCCCATATAGGTAGTTCTTAAAAGAGCATAATGCTGAAAGTAGACCTTTTTTTTACTAATTAAGCTAAACTATTGTTTGGTTTTAAGATGATTTCAGGGAATATTTTTGGTTTAAAATTTAAAGATTATCTCAGGGCAATAGTTTCAGGGGTTCATCTACCCTCCATGGCTCCAGAAATTGTAGAGTCCATGAAAATTTTAAATTCTGTTCTGCACTTTCCCCCTTTTGATCAAGATTCTTCTATGGAATCTTTGATAAAAATGTTCAGTAATGGTAGCCAAGCACCACCCAGTTCTTCTGATCTCATGGCAAAGGAGGCAGTTGTTTATGGAGGCAATTAGGTACACATTCCATATCCTCCTCCTATTCCTGACTCTCCTTCTTCCTCTGTTGTTCCAGGTGAATAGAGACCAATTGCCATGCCTTCTTGCAAGCTTTTAAGACCCCAGGCACTACATAATGAACTAAGAGGTAGAATGGAAGCATTACATGTTATTAGGCCAATTATCTGGAATGTCCCGTGAAACCATGGCCCTAAACCTCCGAACCAAGGAACCAAATCCCATGGGGGTGTTTGGGTGTACATAAGCAGCCTCAGCAGCTACTCTTTTTTTGTTGTTGTTGTAAATACATCTATTTTACAACTTTTGCCAATTCAACTTTTTATAGGTGTACAACTTATTGACAGCAATTACAATAATTGGCTGTGTGTTCTACTGTTGTTAATATTTTCTACATAGAATTACTATTCTAGATCTCAGTTAAAATGCAGGGAAAAGGACTACTTTTTAATGTTTAGATGAGTGTCTGTAAGATAACAAGTCGTAATAGTATATACTTATTTTAGCATTGGGAGATCAGGCAAATAGAACTCTTCTTTATCATTTAGACATTTAGATTTCAGTTTAAATATAATTTCTTTAAGGTAGCCCTCCCTGAATCTCTCAGGTTAGGGCCTTTGTGTTTCATTCTCGAAGCCCCGCTATACATTTCCTTCATAGTACTTTTAATTTTCACTTTCAAATTTCGTGTTGCTCACTTGTATCTCTGTTTCATCTAGTGATTTATTTTGGGGAGATATGGTGTTCAGGATTTCAATAAATTTACAGTAGTTCTTTTACACAGGCTTATAATGCAAGCGCCAGGTGTAGCACAGGTTGTAGCAGGGGAATATTCGCAGAATGAACCTGAGCTGCTCTGAAGCAGGGTAAACACAATGGGTTTTTCCTTAAGAGAAGATGAAGGTCAGAGATTTGAAGAGACCACAGAAAGAGACATTGAGTTGTTAAGCATTACATATATTTTATGGAGTATTAATGAAATACAAACTGAGTAATTGTAGCTCGAGTATCTTCATATTCTGCTAATGTTAGAAGCAAAGCAAGCTTGCTGAACCAAATAATAAAAACTAAAAATCAGGGAATGTACCCGAAAAGACAATAATTGCCATGTTGTCTAAAAGGCTCTGGAGGGGTAAATACATTATAAGTAGACGTTTTATACACAACATTGCTGTATCAGTATTCATAGCTCAGCTCAGTACTTAAAACCTGCCTTCCAATCTAAAATAGGTCTACCTTTTTATTCTTGTTCAGGGTAGCCAATTATTATCTTTTGTCTCTCAGCTCTAAACCTCCCTCTGCAATCAGCTTTGTAGCGCTGAGACTCTGAACCAGTTTTGCTTTGCCAGCTGATTCCTTGTTAGACTCTACCAGTAGGGGCTGTGAGGGGGCATCTGGGAGGCTGGAGGAGGAAGCACTTGTTCTTTCCTGTTTATGCCCTGTAAGCTTTCAGTTTTCTTGTATGCTTGCGGTTCTGTGAATATCACCCCAGCATCATTTCTTCACCTCAATAGCAGAAGTTTCTTCTGACAGCATCAGCTGAATCAAGTTTAAAGTGTTTCCATTCCTTGCAAAAGTAGCCCTATCGTGCATCCTCAGAGACCCCAGCCAGCCAGAGCACCCTCCTCAGAGGCGAAGTTCTGCTGGGCCCCTCCTTCAAGCTTAACAACTTTATTGACACTTAATTCTTTATGTTGCATTCCTTCAGTTCAAGTGACTGGTATGGTTTCTGTCTCCTGACTAATACACGTAACCAAAAACCAAAACCAAATCCGTTGCCATCAAGTCGATTCCAACTCATAGTGATCCTACAGGACAGAGTAGAACTGCCCCATAGGCTTTCCAAGGAGTGGCTGGTGGATTCAAACTGCTGACCTTTTGGTTAGCAGCCATAGCTGTTAACCACTGTGCCACCAGGTCTCCTACACTGATACACAGAGCAACGGACAAAGGCAAGAACCTTTGACTGGTAAAGTTTGTGTGCTTTTACCAGGCCCAATAATGCCTTTATGAACTTGAGTCTGAGCTAAGTTTGATGTCATGAGAGGTGATAAAAGAGGGTGAAGCTTGTTTTGGTATTCCTGAACCTGGGCAAGTCTGTACAGTTGTTGAATTAATGGCTATTTTCACAGATTACACTGTTCCACTGATACTTTCACCTTCCGTTTAACCTTATTTATTGCTGCCATTTTGGTTAAACTCAATAATCTTTATTGTATCCAAATAGGACAGTTTGTGTAAATACTAAACTGACTCCATCCCTGCCCTCAATTACATGGGTAGAAGGTGGGGCCATCTGGTAGCTAGACTCTAAAATGACCACCAGTGATCCTTACCACTTGGTATTCATGCCCTTTCATAGTCCCTTCCCACACTGAATAGAAATGACCTATTGGTGGACAAGTTTCAGCAGAGCTTTCAGACGACAGAGAAAGAAGAAAGGCCTGGAAATCTATTTCTGAAAGTTAAGCCAATGAAAATTTATGAATCACAACAGAACATTGTCCAACTTGCTTGTTTTGGACAGATCATCAGAAGAGATCAATCTCTGGAGGAGGAATCATATTTGGTGAAATAGAGGACCAGAAAAGGAGAGAGAGACTCTCGGTGAAGTGGATTGGCATAATAGCCTCAACAATGGAATCGAACATGCTGGTGATTATGAGGAGATACAGGATTGGGCAACATTTCCTTTTGTTGTACATAAGGCCACCATGAGGTAGAGTCAATTCCATAACATTTATCTATCTAGCTCATGAGAACACCCAAGCAGCCCTATGAAGAAGGCCAGGTGATCAAACTGAAGACTCTCACCCAAAACCCTGGTGCTAATTTGCCAACCATGAGCGATCCACCCTGGAAAGC